CGCCAACAAGCCCAGCACCACCACAACCACGCGCCCGTCGTGGCAAGACCGGCCTCCGAAAGCGGTCCGCTGTCTCCGCGCGCCGACGATGATTGCGCTGTTGGTTTAATCACCCATACGTCTGCAAACCCTGTATCGACCGAGAAGACGACGCACACGCCCTGATTCGATTGCGCGAGCGAGTTGATGATGATGCATCATCTGCACATGGGGAAAATTGGCAAGATAAGTGTTCTTAGCAGCACGTGCTGAGTTAGGAGTGACGGCAGGCTACTGGCTAATCGTCGAACCTGCGCACCACGGAGGGCGCACGCCCGTAGTGAAGGCAGTCTCGCGACGTGACGTTGTAGCTAACGAACAAGACTCAACAATGCAGGAGTAGTTCTGACGTGGAGTTGACTAAAGCTATCGCATTAGGACCCTCGCCTCCCGCCCGCCGAGATTGACATCACCACGGTGTGCTGATTGTTCGACCATAAACGGTCGTTACTGTGTGCAGGAAGCGGGAAGCGGGAAGCGGAAACTCGTAAGGTAAATGCAGCGTCGACTGCGTGAATACGACATATTGAAGCGGGGAATCGTAGAATAACACGCAAAGTTCAAGCTCAAAAGCGAGGGCAATGTACCTTACATTGAGGGTGCGCTGAGAGTAAGAAACGTAAGACCCTAAGGTGATGACCCAAGCTAGGAAATGAACCATATCGCGCGCCAACTTGTACATTACATAATAACAATGTATATGCCCTGAATAAGAAGTGACTTTGATTCGCAATGAACACCATCCCCGTGAATATGCCAGAGACCACCCAAACACCGAACCCATGACGTGCTGAATACACTCACCAAGTCCTCAAAAAGCCATAATCCTCAGCAACCGCTGATGTTGGCACTATCATCTCTTCTTGATCGAAAAGAACGATCCCGAGGGCGGTGATAAAGACGCGCGACAACAGAGTTGACAAAACGATTGCCGATGGACTTGCCAAAGGGGATGACAGAGAAGACATCCTTCGGCCGACAGTTGGCTCCCTCGCGCGCCTGCTCCGCACCTTCGCACATGTCTACGACGAGGTCGTTGCTGGCCTCTTGGCGTGTCGGAATCTGAGGCCAGGTAGGCTGAGGGCCGACTACATCGTGTGTCGGTTGGATCTTGTCGGGGAAGTCTGAGGCGATGGTGTTGGATGAAGCATCGACCTTCTTGCAAGGGTACAAGTTCGAGAAAGTCGACGCCTCAACAATGGGCCTCTCCACGTACCTCAGACTGGGTGCAGAGGTGAAGGGGCTTATAGAAGCATCATCGTAGACATGGGCGACGAATTGGCCTTGATCGTGCTTCACTGGATCTTCAAAGATCCGTGTGGAGGATTCTATCGGGAAGACCCAATCCATATCTAACCCAGGTACAACCGGGTCTGAGAAAGACACCTCGTCAAAAGGTAAACCAGCTAGGGGCTCATCATCTGCCTCATACCCAACGTCGTCGGAGCGGTCAGAGGGACTTGGTGGAAGGGCAACGGTGGCAGCAGCTATGCCAGTCAGAAGATGTTCCCGGCGGTACATTTGTTCAAGCTCACCTTCTTCGTGGCGTTTCTGGCTAAGCTTGCATGGGTTGATACTCAACTGGGCAAGCTCGAAGTCATCCTCCTGAGGGTGGGCCAATCCCTCGTGCGCGTGTGACCTCTCGCCAAAAGAGTCCCAACGGTACATGTCGTCTCCATCAGCGCGGAAATGCGACCCAGCTGATTGGCTGAGCTTCTCCACCCAATGCTTGGGCAGCTCACCATATGGCGGTCCACAGGAAGCACTAGCTGAACGCTTTGGTTCCGAGCTGGGGCGGTCGGTGATGTTGTCCCCCCACGGGCGATTAGCGACCGGTGGAATGAGCCTCGGACTGGTGTCTCGGTGGCTAGTATCAACGGGTTCCGACGATCCGAAGGGGCCCATTGGGCGGACGGTGTGGCCAGCCTCGATGATGCCCCCAAAGCCAGGCTCCCAGTATTCGGTTCCGTTGCGGAGGAGCAACTGAAGCCCACCAGAAACGGCCGTGAGGTTTTCGAGGGGCTGCGTCTCCTCGGTCCGGAAACCCCACCTCAAGCTCGATCCGCCATTATGCGACAGACGCCATGGAGCTACCTGCCCGCCAGGCCGCACCTTGTAAAAGCCCCTTAGCTCTTGGTCGATTCCGGTTACCGCCGCGTCCAGCTCATCGAGGTATCGATTGATCTTCTCTTGTTTGTCGCTTGGATCGTTGTGAAATGCGCGCGCGGAAGAGTGGAGGCGCCGGGAACATGCGATGACTACGTGGTCTGGGAGTTCTATGGGCCTGCGATTGAGAATTCGTGCGGGTGGAGCCGTCGATACCGAGCCTGAAGCGCTATTAGATGGGATGAAAGTGCCAAAGGTTGCGGAAGACGTACCATTGTCGGTGCAAAGGACGAGCCTCTCCACAGGGTCTTGCGCCAGTTGCTGACCACGATCCAAAAGATCCTCGCGGGGCAACGTGTGTTGAGTGGTGGAAGGGTATTCGTAAGACGAGCGCTTGAGTTCGTTGGCTCGGTACATGTTCGGTGCCTGGTCGAAGGGTATGAAAACAGTGGCTGGTTGGATGATGATTGAAGATGGACGGGACGTTTGGACAATGGTAAAGAAGGTATCTGCGTATGGAGTGATATTCGTTCATTACCTGAGTCCGAATATAAGCTCGTCGTGAAGATGCCAGGAGCTTGCGAGACAGCATAAGCCCACGCCGTTGCAGAGGCCATGATATTGGAACAATACAATTGACTCTCCAAGCATAGTCTAGACAAGGAGTGCCGTCTCTTCGAGATGACCATTGCGCGAGCGCCCGATACCACGCGGACAGCGTCCGGCACCGGCGTTTGCAACTGCGGATGTGCCGACGGAAAAGATATTGGACGTCAATACTGACGTTCCGCACGGCCAGGCAAGCAAAAGACAACGGTCTACTATGACGATGCTTGCGTGTGATTCCTCGACGTCTAGGAGTTGTCAAATCCATTGCGTTTCTCCGCCGCAATCTTACTGGGTATAGCCTCGTTGCCCTTTCCAATGGATTGGTTGGTCTGTGTGACGGGTTTCCGCTACCATAATCAGCTGCGCAGTGACTTTGTCTTTGACTAACAACGCGTTCAGCCATGTCGTGCCGAAGATTCGCCTGGGGCCTGCCATCTGCGGGTGACATGCAGCTACCATGCATAGCCACGTGAACGTTAACGGTGATAGACGTGGGCGCCGTGGGCGCTGGCGCTCATACATTGTGGGGAGTGACTGTGATGGAAGCAGCGTTGCCGTCTCTTCCGGATCCGACTTGCGCCACCTCCACCTGCATCAGGATGTAGGTGTCACTACTATGTTGACAAGGGCGCTGGGCTTGAAGTTGTCGTTTGTTCGATATGCAAGGCGCCGGTTCCTGGGGTGGTGGCTGGGTGTCTGCTATTCAGGCACGGAAGTGGGGGTGCGGCAGTCGGGGCACGGGTTGGAGTGGCTGGAAAGCAGAGATCATGGCGAGTGTTACTCGCCCAAACCTTGAGCCGGCTCTCGGGTACCCGGGAAGACAGCCAGTCGGCAAGTTCTAGGGTCGACCGAACCCATGCAAGAGTCTGTGCGGCTTGAAAGGAAACGTTACACAGCATTCTGAGCCCATTTACACACGGCGGGCCGTGAAGTGATACGTCGCGCGCTCGCAGAAACAGCGGTGGAGCTTGTTAATGACGCGGTGAGCAGAAGCAACAGTGGGGACTGGGACTCAGAGACCAGGCGGCTGGAAATTGCGTGATGGGTATGAATGGCATATGTTCCAAGTGATGGGTCGTGCAAAGTGAGCCAAATGGCCACGTCCGTGCGCAGTACTTGCGAGTGAACATGGTAAAGCGACAATGCCGCTCGCGTAATGGGAACGTGATGAAAATGTCGGAATGGTATGGCGAGCTAGCGTTCTGGTAAAGCTTCTTTTGGTCTGCCGGGACTGCAGCTAAAGTGCCAATGTGACAAGCATGCAGCCTGGCGACTACGTCGTGAACTGTGTCTTGTGTCTAGATGTTTCGAAGCCAAAGACGGGAGCGGACTGAGACGTGTGGAGTAAGCTTGCGGATTACGCCGTGTTCATTAGTGTGTTGGCAGTACAGAGAAAAGACCCATGATCATTCTGCCCGAGTGCATTATTGGGGAGTGAAGGTAGAGGGCGAAGTGTATTGGAGAGGCGACGTTTGACGCAGACGGAAAGCGCGTCTGAGCCGTGACCAAAGTGAGGAAGCGACGGGACTCTCCCGCATCTCGCACCCACCGACGCTCGTCCCAACCGTAAAATCGACCCACTGAGAAAGTTGTCTCCACCACGGGATGTGGCATGGACAGTAGTACAAGGTCCGCTGATAATCGGCATAGGTACGCCCATGAACGCCACCAGGTCACCGCTACATGAGAAGCATCATGTCAACGAGTGGGTATCATGCAAGCTGTTTCGTGGATCTTGATCCTTCGTCTTCTTCCAATCGAGCCATTCAGCGCTATCTCAGACATGTTTCTGAGACTGAGGGCGTGGCCTATAGCGAACCGAGACATGACGACAGCGACGGCAGCCCATGGTGTTACCTCTCCAAACGTGATGTATAGCCAGTCCGGCTGCATGTGCAGAGTAATTTGGGGCTGAGGCGTCGGTATCAGACCAGAGACATGCGACGAGTCGCGCGGATATTGGGGTGATGGTGGAAAATGTGGTCGCAGCACAGGACGTGCTCGTCAACTCTGAGATATTGCGCCCCAGTAGGTTTCAAAACGATGGGCGATTGTAGTGGGTGTCCGATACATGCTACAAGAAGGGCGCCCTGACGAGACGCAAGAGATAGAGCCTCGCCTACCTCAAGGCGTTTGTTACAGTTGTGCTCGTCCCCGGTCTTTCAGTCCACTCCTCAACCATCTGTACTGTACTCTCTCGGGTCCCATCAGATTGCAAAATATTCAGAACGCCTTCCTTCGTTAGCATGCCTTCAACGAAGCGACCCGCTCCACGATCTGCGTCGCCGCAGACCCCTCCCCCCAAGCGCATGAGGACCTCCGACAGTGTCCAAAAAGCAACGCGTTCGAACATATCTGGGGTTGAACCAGGCGTCATTGATGTCATGAACCGCGCGCTGGACTACACCAACGCCGCAACGAAGTACTGGAAGATTGCCGCCAAGGAAGCCAATGCCGAGATCGGTCACTGGAAGAAGGAGTGCGAGCGATGGAGCGACAGGGCTAGCAGAAGCGATGCTGCTGTGGTGGACGAGAAGCGTGAGAGGATCGCGGCGCAAAACGCACAGCAAGACGCGGAGCGTCGCTGCGCCCAGTTGTTGGCAAAGCTGGCCACACACAGGGACGCCCTCCTGCAGATTGGCGGCCTGTCCAAGAGAACAACCGATGGTAAGTCCTGACTCTACGAAGTGCGTACAAGACCCATGCTAATCTCGTACGTCGACCTGTCAAGGCCCGAACACCCTTTCCGTCGTGGAGGAGGAAGAGAGATGTGAATCAGAGCACTCTGGAGACGAGGGCATCCACGACAAATCAGAGGTATCTGGAGACGAGGGCAACCGTGACGAATCTAGAGACGAGAGCGGCCATGGAGTGTTTGCAGACGGGAGCGACCTTGATGATTTGGAATGGGCGGGCATTACAAGAGAAATGCGCTCACTGGGATAGACGGGCGGGTGCTGGTGAGGCGCGGGTGGTAATGGAGTTCCAGGCAATGTATGTAACAAATGACATGGGTTTTTCCAATCTTTACTCTGTGCTGCTTTCTTCGTCCCTCCTATTGCTAGTGAATGTGAGGATGTTGGGGTAAATGGGTGCGTCGTGAGGGAAACAAGTCTTGAGGTCGCTACAAGAACAGCGGAGAACCGGGGACTCCAGCGGGGGTCGCATCAACTCGGGTGCGCGTGGCGCAAGCGACGCTGGCAATGATGGTACGAGAAAAGCTTCGCTGGATTCCGCCTGTCGCACGCTTGGCACAGTCCCGCATTCTCGTTGCGCTGCTCGATGGGGGTGCGCGGCATCTCGCGTACTTCTTTCGTGACGGTCGTCTGGGCGAGGCATTCTCTTTGCCGGCCTCCGCATCGTACTCTCGAGCGTCGTGGCTAGAGAGAAAGCGAGGTGCCGGCATTCAATCCATAGCTATGTACTGCGCCGTCAGTCAGCTTTGCGTTCTTCGCAGTACCGCCACCGCTGTGCGCGTACCTGTACCGGCTCTCGCATGATGGTCAGGTGATGTGACTCACTGCAGACGCTGAGATGCCTGTGAGAGCTGAGCGACCTTTTGGTCTTACATTGTCAACGGCGACTTAGTCATTTGATACATCTCGACCGGCAATGAACCGCGGGCGATACATGGTCGGGCGTCGTGGACATGGAGGGCAGGCCAACGCGTCTGCGTACTCGAGATGGCAGGCGCGACTCGGATGCCGCCGATTGGCCAGTCCTGCCGTCCCACGGTACCCCACATCACGCCAACACCAACACCCGCCCCACCGTCGCCTACGCCATGGCAACGTCCACCACCCTGTGCTTGCCCAACGCCTCACTGATCGCATGTCCACCACGTCGCTTTTCATGCACTCCAGCGCTGTACAATCCCTGTACCGACTGCAAGCTGAAACTCCAGCGTCGTCCTGGTACTTAGATGAATGAGCGTCTCCGCCGGTTGGCGTCGGGCTCAATACTGCTATCTCGAGCGAAGTCTATAGCATTTCCACTCGGGCTGCTACGCTGTCATCGAAAGAAGCTTCTTTCGCGCCTGTCTAGGCCGCAGGCCTCATCGCCCATGCAATCTGCTAACACACATGGCGTAGAGGTTCATCAATGCGCTATGGCTGCGACTGCCCAGACATCCGAGATCAAGCTACGCGTTCACAGTTGGGGTTCGGCTCCTCGAGTAAGCAAGCATATGGACGCAATTATGTCGTGAAAGGTAGCCCCAGACGTAATAGTGCCAGTTTGGTGTCTCCAAATCTGGCAGCGACCTTTCGGTACGTTTCAGTTTTCTTCGGTATTCTTCGGGACTTTTCGCGGAATACCTTTTCTTGTAGCGAGAATGCTTCTTCCAACATAAAATGCATCTCTTAGTTTGAGTCACTGATCTTGAACATTACGCTATTGGATGCATGGTCAGAGATGTACGCGTCTTCTCTGTGATGAAGATTGCCCGGGACGTATTTTGCTGCATCCCCAAAAGATATCGAACGCACGTGTACTCGATGGCGCATCCGCAAGCATGAAATCGGTAGTGTCACATATGACACCACGTTTCCACAATAGACAGTCCTAAGGAAAGGCCCAATGGTACGCTAGAAGACGGTGTTTGCACGGGCACATGTCTTCCAGCGACACGTGCTACAAGGATTCCGCCTTACCTCCCACAGAACTTGCGAACGTGACGCGAGCCCCTCTTTCCTTCAATTTCATCGTTCGCGCAAGGGCCTGCTGCCACCAACTGTCACCAAAGGGGAGGCTATCTTGCCAGAAGATTTTCTAAGCAGGGTGGAGTCATTTGGTCCGCCATAGTAATTGATGAAGGCAAAGAGATTGGAAGTAGGTGCCGTGACTGTGTGGCAGGAGATCCGTTTGGCTTCATCTGGTATTGTTTGTCTCTCGGACTCGCCCCATCAACACCCCGCCCAGACTTGTCGCTATGTGACCGCAACCTTCACTCTTATAAGAGGTAGGAATGAAGACATGTAACGTTCACTCACGATCCAAAGAACTGTCGATAACCTCATATTTCGAGCTGTCACTCTCTTCAGAGATGCATGATCTTTGAGCGCGGCACCTGTTATTACCTGATACCGACCTGGGTCACTCTGGAACAGTTATTCTGTAACCATCACGTCCACAATTCGTTTTTCATTTCGACGGTTACGTCTAAATACTAGCGGGTGAGTTTTGTCTGCCTTTACGTCTGCGGTTCTGTCTACTTCAAAGACGTCTTAAGGAGCTATACTAAAGCGGGCAGGTCTTTCATCGTATCTAGTTGATTCGAAACAGCTCATCGAGCACACTCCATCACATCAATCGTGATGTCAAGGTCGTCCCCACTCCCACCGCTCCGACCGTTCTACGAGGAGAAGGTGCTACCAGATCCGATCTGGGCAGGTTCCACGCATAACATCCAGAACAGTACCTTGGCCGCCATGGAGCCTCATGACGGAATGGTGGTAGTAGTACGAGCGGAGACAGGAACTGATGCTGGGACGTACGCAAAGATTCTCGCAAACCGGCTCGCTACCATGGCCGCGTCGAACGGAAGATTGACCACCTGCCTCTCGGTCACTGGATCCGAGGCTCACGGACGGGATCTTTTTGCTCGCCTCGCAAATTTCCAGTACACGCCAGATCACCTCACCATAGTGATCGGGAACGACGTTCACACGGTAGCGCCGTACCAGGCATTTTTGAACGGCATCCTGACTTCTCATGTAAGCACACGCTAGGGAGAGGGCAGACGTAGCTAACATTGCAAGCACACGGAGGATATAACTCATCATTCTTTTACACGCTTAATAGCGATGAAGCAGGCGGTGTTTATTTTTACAGTCGACGCAAATGTCAGACTGTCGAAGTATTTCTTGTCTCGCTGCACAATGTTCATCACCTTGCGCCTGGCGAATAGCCCCGCTCTGACAATACTACCTTTAACCCCACCGGAAGCTTTAACCGCGCCTGCAGTTCTAGAGGTGGCGTCTGCCTTGCCTTGGGCGGAGTGAGACGTCTACCGCTACTAGAGCTACACACGCTCTGCGCTCTTTATGTAGCGCGTTAGAGTCTATTTTTTCTTGTATTTAGAGTTAATCTTAGGCGTTCGGAGCTGCCTTTTAGTCTGCTTTGTTTGCTCGCGCAGGGTGACAACGGCTGCAGAAAGCTTCTGCAACTATAGACGATTGCTACTGCTATCTCTATTCTTATTAGAGGCGGACTATTAAGATAGAGATGCAGTTGTACTCGGGTTCTATTTGTGCAGCTCTTACGGTCTTTATTCTTTACTTATTTGTAGTTTTCTAGGTGTAGGTGCTGTAGATGTAGCAAAGGTACTTTAATAACTTAACTTGCATACTAATAGTATTCTACTATACACCTAGCACTTGTAAGCTTTAGAGAAGAGACTCTAACTTTGCGTTTTAATATAACTAGAAGCCCTATATATATATATGTTGTTTACTAAGTAGCTACGTAAGCTAGAATACTCTACTACTACTAACACTTAAAGTAGGTCTAGTATTAGTAGAGCTTTAACTATCTCTAGCAAATAATAGCACTATAGTTACTATGTATATTTAGTTTAATTAGTATATATAATTATAGAAATATTTATATAATTCTCTCTTACGCTTTGTTTTATAAAAGTAGTAATATACTTATAGCAGCCTATTTTCTAGAGTAGCTACTATAGACACTACTATTATATATAAGACTCTAATAGTAGCGCTTAATACCTTCTTTACTAGAACTTATTAACTATATCTATTTATATTCTTATACCTCTATAGGCTGTCTCTTATAGAGCTCTTTTCTAGATTATAAAGCTATATTCTACTTAAGTAGATAGGCATTTAGATAGCTCTATAACTAGGTACTATATTAAAGATAGCTATTACTATATATATTACTATAAAGTAGGTAAAGATATAGCTATAGTGTCTTTATCTCTACTAGTGCTGCGTATTCTAGTAAAGCTAACGTTTATAAGTATATTAGAGTTAGAGCTAGTAATGTATATTTTTAGGCCTGCATGTTCTTAACTCTTTACCTAGACTTTAATATATATATCTAAGAACACTAAAATATTAGCGTAGTTAGCTTACTTATCTAGATATAACTTTATAATACTCTATAACTTCTTACTTTAACTAAACTTCTATGCGTAATAATAGTTTCTACTAGATAGAGCTATAACTTATTATAATATCTAGTTACTAAGCTACTACTATTTCTACTATTTAACTTACTATAAGTCTCTAAGTACTTTTAATTTAGAAGTAGATACTACTCTACTTACTCTTAAATATAAGCTAGTAGCTACTACTTACTTTTAACCTAACGTTACTTATTTTATTAAGCCTCTTTACTTTAATAACGCTAAGTAACTAGCTATTATATAACTAAGTGCTTATATATAACTTAACTCTAATCTAGAAGAGTAAGAGAAACTTTAAATACTACTATATCTAAGTATATACTAATAACTATAATACTTTATACTAGTTCTATAAACCTTAAGTAGATTAGTATAAGTTTATTATTATAAGATAAGTAGGTTATTAGATAGAGAACTTATATTAATATATATATCTTAGGCTTTTATAATTAACTTAACTAGAACTATTATACTAAGTACATTTATTTAGCTACTAGAGCGCGCTATTAGAGCTACTTAGATATACTACTAGTAATACGTCTAGTATAGAAACTATAAGAAGAAGCTTAAGAGTGCGCTTTATAAAAGTAATATTATAAATAGTAAACTTAGAACTTCTTTTCTAGAATAGTAAGTGTAACTAATTAAGTAACTCTTTACTATAAGATTATAGGCTTAATTACCTCTAAGATATATATACGCTGCTTTATTAAGTTTTAGATTTTTTATAGTTATAATACCTTTATCTCTATTAATAATATTTCTAGTAACTACTAAGATAAGCGCAACTTTATTA